CTCATATATATGTTTTTATATACGTATATATATATATATATATATATATATATATATATATGTGTGTGTTTATATGTTTGTCTTTTAGATCGTGACAATGCCTGAGTATCTGGGCCGACGGTTCGGAGGAGAAAGGATTAGAACCTACCTGGCTGTCCTGTCTCTGCTGCTGTCTGTCTTCACAAAGATATCAGTAAGACGGTGCCATTCTCACACACACACACACACACACACACAGAGCCAACATGTCTCAGTGTTGTGTGAAGACTGACATCTGCTCTGTGTCCACTCTCAGACCGACCTGTACTCTGGAGCCCTCTTTGTTCAGGTGTGTCTGGGATGGAACCTGTATCTTTCCACTGTTCTGATGCTGGTGGTCACCGCACTCTACACTATCGCAGGTCAACACAGACGGACAATACAACTGTATTTATCAAAACATGTACAATGAGTTAACATCAGGCTAATACCATTACCTAAAGGACACCTCTGTATTTAAGATGTTTTAAAACTTGCTGACAATTTCTAATTTTTAATTTCTTAAATTATTTATTTTATGACATTAAAAAGTCCATACTTTTGCCTCAAACTGTCGTCATGGCCCACTGAGAATGAACATGCACTCTCATAAATCCACCAGGTGGCCTCGCTGCGGTCATCTACACCGACACTCTTCAGACATTTATCATGATTATCGGAGCGGTCATTCTGACGATCACTGGTACGGACGCTGCTTTGTTCTCTCCACACCTGTACGCTGCATTAACCTGCAACTGTGAATGAGTTTCCTGTTCATCCACAGCCTTCAACAAGATCGGCGGCTATGAAAACCTGGAGCGCGTGTACAGCATGGCGGTTCCCAAGAAGATCATCCCCAACAGCAGCTGCCACCTACCACGCCAGGACGCCATGCACTTGTTCAGGGACGCCGTCACTGGAGACCTGCCCTGGCCGGGCATGACGCTGGGGCTGACTATACTGGCTACATGGTACTGGTGCAGTGACCAGGTAACAGTTCTGAGTGTTTCCTCTACCTTCACTGTACTGGAATGTTTCCACATTTTGACACCTGGATTTATGAGAGTGACGTAGACCAGAGAGCGAGCGAACCTGTCAACACCAGTGAACACCTCCTTCACTTCACAGTCGTAATTCAAACCGTCTGTTTGTTTGATTGTTTGGAATTGAGTTTCCAAGGCCAGGAACTGTATCCTAACATAATCACGGACTTTGGTTTTATGACCATTTTATTAATGTGGCTGCTGTGTCTGTAAAAGTAGGTCGAGCTCCACCCTGCTGCCCAGAAATGACTTTGAGCCAGACCTAAAGACCAGACTTTCAAGAAATTCTCTCAGAAACACAAAATGTGCAGATTTTTTTTTCCCCATGTGGAAAAGCAAACCAGGACATTAGCACATCAGTTATCTGGATCCAAACACAGTAGGTTGCAGACCTAGAATCCAACTTTGTTATTTTCTCAGGTTTCCAAATAAACTGCAGATTTATGAAAACAGATGGAGCCAATAAATCCAGAGAGACTCTCTCCTCCTCTTATTTACAACATTCATTTTTATTCCCATGTCAGTACAAAGCACTGCCGTCACCTGCTCTCAGCATCTGCACAGGTAAATATAGATATGTGTCACATACAGCATGTAATAAATCCTCACGGTAACGTCACCCTCACACCATCAGTAACCACAGTGATATCTACACCAGAGCCTGCTGATCACGGACCGCGTCATAGACCGTTCAATGTGTGGGAAAAAAAGTGTCCAATTCTGAGTTAAATTAAAGTGAAGGATCACATTAACTTTAGCCTCATCAAATTCATTTTAAGTCACTTTATGTCAGTAGAACTGAGTAAAAACTCTAAATTAAAAATACATAACATGATCAGTTCACTGTATGGTTTTATATCCAGCCACGGACCTTTAACAACAAGGATTCTCTAAGAAGAAGAGGTGATTGTTTTTAACTAGATTTTTTTTTTCCCTAAAGCACAGCAGCAGATCCGGTCCTCATCACATAAAGTGACGCAGAGTTGAGCCTGGGGTGTTTTAAAAAAAAGGAAGTGATACGGATGCCTGAGAAAGATTCCACGTCGATGAGTCTTTTCCTCAACAGGAAGTCAAAACAAAGTCCTTGTACCCAGTGCTAGTCCTCAGTCTTTACCTAGCTGCCTTATTTTGAGACGTCTTCTTCTGCGGCACGCCGCCTCTTGCCCTCAGATGTCTGAAATTACTCAGTTTTGAGAAAGAAACACCAAGTAACCCACTCGGGTTTGCCGGAGGCTGAGGGGAACCGCGGTCCATCTTGTTCTCCTGGCTGTGGCGTTGCGGGGAGCGGCCCGACCGTCTTTCCGCGTGCAGCTGAGCTGAGTCGGTCTGCATCGTTTGACCCTGCCAGTAACGGTGTCCTACGATCACAGGGCCGGCGGCAGCTCGTGTCTGACGCTGAAAACCAACCGGCGAGGAGCCCCGCAGTCTGGCATTACGATCGGGAGATCTGGAGTTCCGGAACAACTAGAGAGAAACAGAGGAGAAAGTGTTGATGAGTTAAACGTTATGAGGTCTAGACATGTGATGTCACTGTGTCAAAAACACTGTTCTGAATACCACGCTGAACTGGGGTAACAGGTAACTAATCCTAGTTACTTGAAACAAACCGCTGAATCTGAACAATGTAAAAAATGGAATGCAGAAAATTCATGCAAATTCTCCTGAGCTGAGTTCTAGGCCCTGAGTTACAGTCAAGTATTTAAGGGTTTTAATATCAAGGTTAAAATGTTAAGTACTGCAATGTAAATATCATCAGGAAAACTGTAATTGTCCCTTTAATCTCATCGTGGAAAAACTGTAATTGTCCCTTTAATCTCATATCGTGGAAAATCCTTTTAAAGGTTTTTTTTTTTTTTCCATTGCAGGTGATCGTACAGAGGTCACTGTCTGCCAAGAGCATGAGTCATGTGAAAGGAGCATCCATCCTGGCTGCCTATCTGAAGATGCTGCCCTTCATCTTCATCATCCTCCCTGGCATGATCAGCCGCGCTCTCTATCCCGGTACACACCCACACACACACACACACACGGCGGTGAAATCCCCTGACATTTTGACAAGCAGAAATGTTATGGCATCTTCATCAGTAACTTGTTTGAACACCAACACTGAAACACACCCTGCTTTAAAAAGGTATTTCCTGTTTACGGGCTGAGTAAAACCACACCTAATAAATGTCAGCACATCATTTTTAAAACGTATAAACTCATGTTTCTGGAAGGATTATGAGAGTTATTTTGGATGATTTACCGTCCGATCCAATTTCAGACACTTTACTGTGGTTTAAAAACAATTTTAAATGTCAACCCCAGGCGCAAAAAAACAAACATTTGTAGATACTTGACTGAGGTCTGTCTCACCTGGCCTATGTGCCTCTGTGGTGACTGGTGAGTTTCTCTGCGGAGCTTCTGTGATTGGCGGATGAGATCTGCGCTGTCTTCTGATTGGACGGGCTCCCTTAAGTCCAGCATACTCTGAGAGAGACGAGCCATCATGTTGACCCCGTCCCCGTGCCTACGCCCACGACCCGAGCCTGTCGTCCCTCCGTTTGTCAGCACGTCGTTGGACTCCGGATGGGGTTCGTAGAACTCCTCCTCCGACACAGTGGAGGCGCTGGAAGGGTTGTCGTGGGCCCCTCGGTCACAGTTGACCTTGGTGCTGTCCTGGCTGCCCTCGTTGCTGCCAGAGTCCTCGTCCTTCGTCGTTAGACGACGGTGACGCTGCTTCAACTCCTCTCTCATTTGCTTCAAACCAGAGGAACCATCTGAACTCTGCAGCAGGTCCGTGTCTGACATTTTAATCAGAGACACCTGTGTTTGTCCAGGCTGCTCCTCAGGAGGGGAGTCTATGACCAGTTGCAGTGTACGGCGTTTGGGAACAGGAGGAGCGGAGATTTGTGACGCTGGGACTTCTTTAGTTGTTGGATGTGAATCAGTTTTAACACTGGACAACGGGTCTTTGGGAGTGGCGTCAGTTTTGCATCGTGTGTCTTGTGTGCGAGGCGGCTGAGCTTCCCTGCTGGAGTCTGTCGTATCAGTTTGGTCTTCATTAATTACTAGGCTTGTTTCCTTTTGGGTTTGTTGGCTGATCGGGCTCACAGGAGGCGGGCTTCCTGGGCTGGTGTTCCCTGAGGGTTTCCTGGCATTTCTTGCTGGATTCAAAGTCAGATCCTCTGTTTGGGCGGGAAGTGTCAGCGGCGCCTTGAAGCGTATAGCCTGGCTGAACTCAAACCTCTCAGACCTCTGAAGGTGAACCTGATTGGCCCGTTTGTCATCCCTGATGTTGATAAAGCCAATGACATCGCTGGGTGGGTCCGGCTCCGGCCAGGTGGGCAGGTATGGGATCATGTTAGCCTTCTCCAAATGGGCTAACCCAGGGTGTAGCGGCGACTCCTCAACAATCTCCTTGATGCGTCCTTTAATTATTTTGAGCCCGGTGGGATTTTGGTTCTTGTTGCTGGAGTTCTGGTCTGACGAGGCCAAACTGTGGGCTCCTGAGGTGACCAGAGCATATTTGGGATTGATAAATTTTCTGGCGACACTAGCCGGGACAGGAGCAGGAGCTGCCTGAGGGACAGGGTCAGGGATGGGTTCATCCACTATGGGAACCTTGCTGAGGGACACGCTTCTGGACATGAAGTACAGGTCACGGAACTGCAGGTCAAACGTCTCCATGGCCTGTCCTGTGATCACAGTGATGAGGTTACGGTCCAGACGAGAGGAGGACCAGGTGAAGCTGGAATCAGACAGACCAGGAAGCAGGAGATCAGTTATTTAATATTCTCCTGTTTCAGTTGTGATGAAGTCACCGTCCTGCGTCTAAATGGTTTCTCTCGTGTCATCACATGCTTTGACAAAACCTAAGCCCAGTTTAATCATTACAGCAGACATTTGTACCCTGAAGTCAGACACCGTGTTTATGCTCTTTGAACTCATCACAGCACCTTCTGCCTGAGCTTCCTGGTAGAACAGGTTCATATAAAATGATGAAATGATAACGGATGCAACAACTACAACAAAAACAGGAATAACAAAACATTTCTGTGATCTCTATCTCACCGTCCGTCCATAGTTTGAATTACAATAAAAAAAAGCTCAAAACATTTATTATCACATTGTTGATGAACTCGTTTAAACCTGCTGATGGTTGGTTTTATTCATTTGCTGCTACATAAAGATTCTGGAGTTACAGTTTGGTTCACTTCTGTCACTGATTGATTTTTCTGACATCACATATTTTAGATCACGTCTTTCCTTCAATTAAGTTTCTAGTTTTCCCAGAAACCTCGTAAATTAAATAAATGATTCATTTAAATTTCACTTTTTCACCACGCTAGACTTCTCTAATGAGTTTGGATTATTGGTGTAGTGTTACATGAGCGATGTTCTGCTTGACAAACACTGTAAGATTAAACCAAACAGAGGAATGACAGGTCATTAGAGGGGGTGATGACAAAAGGAAACAACTTTGTTCTTCCTGTTGAAGAGCTAAATAGTTTTTTATAGCTGAATTAGATTTATTGCTGTGTTTGTGTTTTCATTCTTCAGTGTCAGACGCAGGTACAGTGTGTGTCAACGTCACTGCTCACCTGTAAGAACCTGAGATGGCTTTGTCTCCGTCGATCAGGACAAACTTTTGACTCAGGGCTCCGCGCACCTTCTGAGCCGACCGCGTGAAAAACTCCACACCTCCACAGCAGCGCACACGCAGATTCTGGGCACAGACACAATCGTGTAAAGTTAAAGCAATGCAAACAAACCTGTAAGGACTTAGTGCATGGGGAGGAGGCGCTGTTGTAAACAAAGGAGACATAAAGGCCACTGGACCGTGATGATGGAGACCAGACAAGAATGAGTTTTGTTGTCGATCAAGTCAAGGGCTTATCTCTGTCTCTGCCCCCCCCCCCACCCCCGTATTAATACCACTAAAGTTTCTACCTGTTGACTGACACTACAGGTTGGAGCACGGTGTGTTTTCGTGTATGTGCAGGCTCGTACGACACACCCTGCAGTGTTTGTCTTCAGGCCTGTGATGAGGGTGGGGCTCCGGGCCCAGCGTTACCTCCCGAGTCAATGTTCTATGCGAAATCTCACACCATCAGAGTCGTAAATAACAATAACGCTGAGGGCAGACAGAAGAATAGCTCAAACTGAAGGGGATCGCTGTTAGTGAAACAGGAAATAAAATAAAATATAATTCGAATCCTTAAGTCACAAAGGTTTTTAAATGGCCGCAACGTGGACAGGACTGTGTGTGTGTGTGTGTGTGGCTTTAAATTGTTTTGGTTTTAAAATGAGTGTCACTGCCTCGACTGGTTTGTCTGGGACAGTCAACCACAGGACAACTTTCTGGCGGACATTAGCAGCCAGCTCACCACCTGCAGGCTCCCCCTACACCAAACACACCTGATATCATCTGAGTTCATTTTAGCACAGGCCTCGCTGTTAGCATTTACTGCATCACATGACTTTTGACTTTTTGTTTTATAGCACTGTAGTTTATGCAAAAAAATGTCTCGAAGCACTCAGACTTTAGCACATGTGGTTTCAAGACGGAGGAATGTTGTAGTATCAGCCTGGAGGTACATGTTGCACCAACAGAAAATATGAATTCATGAAAAAACAGCCGGCATGACGTGTGTTCTAAAGTTATCACTGCGTCCAGGGTTTTAGTTCATCCGTGGACTGTTAGCCAAAAACAAGACGTAGGTGCTAATGAAAATGTTTAAACAGGAAAGAGAATCAAATGAAAAGGGAAACATTTGGCCAAAAGACGTCGTTAGACTGAAGATTAGAGAAAAGATTCCAACAAAAGGAGAGTTCTAATAAGATTGAACCAACTCTGTATTAGTTTAGGGCTGCATTTCAGTCTGTGATGTCGGAGTTTTAAGTTAGGTAAGTTGGCCTGAATAATGATATATATACATATATAAACAAATTTTATTGGAAAAAACAACAGTGAGAACCACGTTATTCTCCATGTGTTTGTTTTGAAGAAAAGTTTTTTAGTTTTTTTTTTTTAACAATAACATTTTCCTTGACTGTTGTTCTAAAACCAGAGAGGCAGCACAAATATCTCACCCCAACGCCCAGCTTATCAAAACATCATCAGGGTGTGTGTGTGTGTGTGTGTGTGTGTGAACGGGTACATACCTTTAGATGTCCACGGTGCATATCAGCTCTGCCACACATGGAAAGAAAGCAGGGGACCGAGGCCATGTCGATGATGATGTAGACCGGGACCCTGCGTTTGTACGCCGCATCCAGCAGGTCACGAAAGATATCCACGTCTGTGAACACGTCCATCACCACAGCTATTACCTACACACACACACAGACAGACGGACAAAGAAAACCACAAATGCTGTTACACATTTCCTGCTGTGTGGGAGTGGATTTGACTTGATGATGTCATCATACGATGACCAACAGTTAGTGGGCACCCATGAGAACTGAGGTCTGACTAGAATCAGTCGTCAGGTTCACACATGACTTCCCCAACTCTCATGTGAAGCCACGAGCTCTGGGTGAAAGACGAGCGTCCAGGAATGACCACAGTTACAGTTTAGACCAAACCAGTACTTGTTGAACTGAACGGCCCTTGAATCAGACTTTTAACAACACAAATGTGTTGTCTGTTGTCTGAACAGAGTGTTCCAGATCTCAGCAGCGCTGCTGTCAAAACCAACTCTGGACTTGACACAACGCCAGCTGTGTCAAACGACCCAGATTTCACTGTGAAGCTGCAGACACAGTCTTGGTAAACAAGTCTGCAGCAGAGTTCAGAAACAAAAAGGCAAAATTAAAAACTTCACTCCAGTATTCACTCCAGCCTCACGCCGAAACACTCCAGTTCAGATCATTTGTCTTTAAAAGGTAACGGACTTGGCCTGTGAACCTGTGAAGTGATGTCAGAGAATAACTTTCCAGTGTCGTGTCAGGATCAGGATCAGTGTTTACACGCAAACGTGTGGGAAGTAGAAAGAGGAAGGAGGGTGTATAGAGTCAAAAAAAAAAGAAAAAAAACCCAACATAAACAACCTAATCATCATTTACACTCTGTATTTACAGAGTGTAAATGATGATGATCAGGTTTCCAGGTTTGAAGTTTGTGATATATGGTGAAAGTGTGACTCCACAGTCAGGAGTGGAGTAAAAACCTGTCATTACTGCAGTCAGAACTGTAGTGATGTCACGTGAACTAATGTCAACAAGGATGGCTGTCAGTCTCAGTCAGAAGATAAAGATTTGGACAGATTGAAAGGACGGTTCAGAGTATTTATATTTGTAGTCTACATCAGTCTATGACAAGATGATGAGTACATTTATCAGCAAATACTTTGTGGTCTTCACAGCCTTGAAGCTTCTGTGAAACACTCCTGTGTCATGTGACCAAACCACATCACAGAATGTGTGCAACCTGAAAAATATTTGAACCGTTGAGTAATGTTGTGATTCCAGAAGGTGTCGCAATAAATGTCACCTTCGTTTAGATAACGATTTTAATCCGGCTCCTCGTGGTCGAACTCACTGCTGCGGGGGTTTTAATGGATTTGTTAAAAACGTTGAATCCAGTTAGCATTTATTTAAAAATATAATTAAATGGGTTTGATCCGATTAAAGGCCGAACGTCTAAGTCCGTCATTAGTTCAAGGATTTCTTCGACGTCTTCGATTTTTACATCTATGTTTTGATCACAACAAAAACTGTCAACAAAGCCAGACATAACAACAACTGACGATGATGATGATGATGATGATGATGAAGCCAGGCTGTCAATCACATCTTCTATTGTTTTACAGTCTATTTTCCTCATAATCAACTCTTTATGTAAATATTTCACCTCATGTTAGGTTTTCTAACTGCAGAGTCCAGATCTGCCTCAACAGTTTGACCGTCGATCTTCCTCCAGACGGAGTGAAGACCAGCTCTCATGTAAAGTCCGTGATCACCACACGTCAGTCTCACCTTTGAGGCCGAGGCGATGCTCTTCCGCACCACCTCCTTGATGTGTGTGTGTGCGTCGGTCGGAGGTTGGGTGTACACCGTCACACGGGTCACCCCACGGTAGGAGATCGCCTCGGGCCAGCCCAGGTCCAGCTCCGCCACTGAGCCTTCGGAGCGGTCGGGCCAATACTCCAGGGACACCTGCTCGTCCCCGGCTTCCTCCCACTGCCCCGAGCCCGGGGTGAGGTTGCCGGGCCCCGGCGTGTCAGGTTTCTGGTGGTGCTCGTACCCGGGCCGATAATCCTCGGCCGTTTCAGCGATCTTCTCCAACTCCGACTCTGAGAGAAAGTCCCGGACACTGTGGTCACGAATGTACTCCGTGAAGGCCTCGGGACCTTCGGTGATGAGCGCCTCCAGCGCCAACCGCTGGTCCTCGCTGTAAAAAAACTCCGGTTTGCTTTCACTCACGCGCCAGTTGACGTGGTGATCGTCCAGACACTGGATCTGGGACAGCGCCATGGCCTCCGGTCAATGGTCAGCCACTTATAGAACCGCTTTAAAACAGAGATTCATTGACGGTCCGTGGTGTACCAGGGCCACATGGACCCGTGATGATGGACCGAATATTACAAAGAATCTCCCGTTCAGTCCTTAATCCTCCTCCCACTCAGCTCTCCACTTCACAGTCACTAATCCAGGTGTTGTCAGAGCTAAGCTGCCACCGCCCAGAGCCACACCTCTCACCTGACAGGGGCCGGGACAATGGTGCCGGGGCCCGGGGCGACTGCTGGTGCTGTAGCCGCGGGGCCGGGGCAGCTGTCCGTGTGTGAGCGGGTGAGTGGGTGAGAGTGAGTCAGTTCGAACAGGAACGGTTCTGTTGATGAAGGACTGAGTTAACAATCCTCCTGTTTACACGTGCTGACTCGGCCCAAGTGTGGCGCTGACGAGTCACTTTCTCCTCCTTTGTCAGACTGACAGCAGCTGCTCAAACGTTTCTCCGAAAGAAAGAAGAAAAAAAAAAAGTTGTAGAACTTCCTACAACGTGGCGACAACAAGTCCCGGGTTCCACCGAGTCCACTGCGGTTTTAGTCCTCCAGTGTTTCCCCCTGTAATCACTTCTCTGGATCTGGAGCCGCCGGTGTGGCTCTGACCCCGAAATCCGGCAACGGAAGCTCGGTTACCGGGTCCAGACAGACGGAGTGTCCGGGAGCCGAATGGGAAAGGGAGGAGTTAAACTCCGCCCACTGCCCGCAGGAAGAAATCCACAGAAAAAATGTTCGGGTTTTTTTTTTGTTTTTTTTGTTTTTTTAACTCCAGTCATCGAACGCTCCGTGAACCGAGCTGTAACTGATACAGTCTGATCTTCACACACGGTTGAGCTTTTAATCTTTTAACAAAGGGATTAAAATTTGATATCCCAAAATGATGAAACCAGCTAAAAATATTCTAACACTGCCCTGGAACTTCATACTTGTTTATCAATCCATTACACACATGAAAATACCCCTGTTATTACCCCTGTTATTACCCCTGTTATTACCCCTGTGTTAGACTGGGGTATAAAACCATCCTTTTAGAAACATTTGCCCCCACGTCGATATCTCCCTTGACTTTTTCTTATGTGTTCGGGCTTTTTATTTTATTTTATATTAATTCAACACACTCCTAGTAAAGACTTGAAAATGTAAAATAAATATAAATAAATATAGATGTTGAATTAATGGACCCAGTCATCCACAGACCCAGACTAGATCTGATACTTGTTCTGAAAATATATAATCTTCCCAACTTTTACTGTAACACACTTCACGTTAATGTAGAGAACCATGATCCCATTTAGAGGAAATGAATGGACAGTGCATGTCCACTCATGTTTTATCAGGCTTTATTTAGATATTTAGATATACTATATTCAAATACCATTTTTTAGAACACAACCTGTGTGTCAAACAGGTCACTCTGACCAACAGCCGTCCACAGCTGCAGTACCGATCCCCTCCACTTGTTTTTGTCCTGTTCTTAAGTGGAAATTAGAGACAATGTGAATTTTGCATGAGCCAAACATATGGTTTCATTTCCTGTGTGTGTCACTGTGCTCATGTTTCAGACACTGTAGGGTGTGTGGACCCTGAGGAGTGTGTGCGAGTGTGTGGAGCCGAGGTGGGGTGCTCCAACATCGCCTTCCCCAAACTGGTCATCGAACTCATGCCAAGTGGTAAAGACATGATGGCCATTTTGTATTTCCCCAAAATCATCCCAGTCCTTAGATGATGTTTGTGTGTTCTCACCCGTGTCTTCTGTCCATCCGTGTGTGTGTGTGTGTTTCAGGTTTACGTGGGCTGATGATCGCGGTGATGATGGCGGCCCTGATGTCTTCACTGACCTCCATCTTTAACAGTTGCTCCACCCTCTTCACCATGGACATCTGGAAGAAGCACAGACCGCGGGCTTCAGAGAGAGAGCTGCTCCTGGTCGGCAGGTGTGTGACTGACCCGTGGGTGGTCATGTGACCAGTGGTGTGTGTGTGTGTACGAGGTGAAGGATGATGATGTTGTTGTTCGTGTGGGCTGCAGGATTGTGACAGTGATCCTGGTGGTGGTGAGTGTGGTGTGGATCCCCATCCTTCAGTCGGCCAATAGCGGACAACTATACGTTTACATCCAGTCAGTGACCAGCTACCTCGCTCCACCAGTTACTGCTGTGTTCACTCTGGCTGTGTTCTGGAAGAGGACCAATGAGGATGAATGTCAAAACACACACACACACACACACTCCAGTGCACACAAGCACCTGCACAAATATATATACAGTATATATTCATATAGATTTCAGTCAGGATTTAAAGCTGAGTTGATTTATTTTTCAATTCATTTTTTATGCATTAATTATTGTCCAGCTTCATAGTAGACGTCAACAGTTCAGACGTCAACAGTTCCTCATGGGTCTGTTCCTGTTTCGGTAGACTTTGACCAATCACAGGGCAGCTTGAAGAGAGGGAGGGGCTCTGATTGGTCACCAGACTGATCTCTTCTGTAGCCTGTGTGTTTGAAACGGTTCCGTTGTGACTGTCCCTGCTCTTCAAAGTGGTTCAGGTCTGAAAGGGTTAAGTCATGGCAATTTACGTGTTGAGTTGACTCTCAAAAGTTGCCGTTGACTTCAGTCCTTTTTACTTTAGCAATTGACAAAAACAACGCTCATTCATGCCAAAGTGCAGTCACTGGAACTTTTTAAAAACGTTTTTAGCCAAAACACAAAGTCACAAAACTCATCATAACTACACCTATTATTTTCTTGCATAAACTGCACAAAGATTACATCTTAAGTGTGAGAATTTATATTTTGTCTTGTAAAGAATAAAAACTGTCTTCAATTAACAAAAAAAAAAAAATTAATTCTACTGAGTTTTAACCAAACAACCCTGAGAAACGCTGCAGTTTTCCTTCCTCTGCTCTTCCTCCTTCACTACACAATGGTCTGGGTTTATTACTCTCACGTGTCACATGGGATACGGCTAAGTGCAAACACCCCTCGCTGCTTGGTGTGGAGCCCACATGTGAGTGTGTGTGAGTGTGTGAGTGTGTGTGTCGCCTGTGTTTCCTCTCGCTGATGCCGCGTTGTAAACGCAGACGATCGTTTCTATCTTTACAGCCGAGTGCGTGTGAGTGAAAGTGTGATCAGATCAGAGGACTGAGATAACAGATAACAATAACGCAGAAAGAATGTGGATCAGCTCAGAGCAAGTAAAGACCAGTCCGCAGGGTGGGTGGATCCACTGCAGCCGGTTCTGGGTGTGCCCGCTCTCTCCCTCTCTCTCCCTGCTGGCGGGCGGCCAGCGCTGAAGTGAGGAGAACTTTCTCAGGTTTGTTTCACAATGAAAGTGTGGCTCACTCTCAGTGGGAGGCAAAGGTTCCTTCTGCAGTTTGAAGTCACATCTCAGAGTAGGCCAACTTACAACCTCTAACTAAAACCAGTGGTTCACCTTTGACCCCTTCACACCTCATGTTCCTGCACATCAGCACCAGCCACAGTCCTGCTCCTCCGCCTTAGGCTTCATCTTAACAAAATACTTTCAGCAGTTATTCAGATGCTGCTCTGTAAACACAAACAGCTTAGAGCAGGGGTGTCGTACATGTGGCCCAGGGGCCAAAACCGGTCCACCAAGGTGATTATCCTGGCCCGCTTGATGAATTTTGAAAACAAAAACACAAACACTTCATGTTCAGGATCATTTTTAAAATTAATTTTGTAAAGTTATATTTCATTAAATATAAATGAATAATAATACATGGACTTATTGGTATTAGTTTCATTAAATATGAATGAATAATAATACATGGACTTATTGTTGTTAATAGTTAATTATGTTATGATCGTGCTGCTCCGACCCACTGAGTCTCCAGTACCAGCTGGACTCCATTTCACTTTAAACTCATAAAAAAGTGTTTTCTCAAGGTCAAAAACATTTGCTCACATAAACAGGTTGAGCCGAGAGCCGCAGGCATTAAAACTGTGTTGACTCAGGAGGTGAAGGGGCAGACCTCGTGTGCAGGATGTGTCACATGCTGTGACACAGCAAACAGTGCAGGCTGTACTGCGTCTGTACTGCGACTGTGCTGCGACTGTGCTGCGTCTGTACTGCGTCTGTACTGCGACGGGCCGATTGTTTTCACAGGTGATCAGCTCGACCGCACAGGTGACATTCTTTCAAGACAGCAGGAGGAGACAGGGAGTCATTTGTGCGGCTGCACGTGTGTGAAAATACAATTACATGACAAATGCATCAGATGGTTACGGTGGGAAAGTGACTGCGCTGCGGCACAAACACACCCAGGAGTGACACCAGGGCTGTGTGAGGAATGAACCCAAGAATCCAACCAACGAGAGAATGAACCGCCGTCTCTGTGTCTCTCTGTGTGTGTGTGTGTGTTAACAGGGTGCATTCTGGGGCCTGATGGTGGGGCTAGTGGTGGGAGTGTGTCGGATGGTGCTGGAGTTCGCCTTCCCTCCTCCCAGGTGTGGCCTCGAGGATTCTGCACCGGCCGTGCTGCGAAGCGTCCACTATCTCCACTTCGCCATCCTGCTGTGTGGACTGACGGCCATCGTGATTTTCATAGTGTCTCTGCTCACGCCGCCTCCCACCCCAGAACAGGTGTGTACACACAGCTATCTGTGGAAACACCCGGAATGTTGGCTCCCAAAGATAAAATGGAGGAGTCTGGAGAAATTAAACTACGTAGAGTTTCCTTGTAGTGACTGAAAAATAATCTTCACCGCTGATCCCAAACAGCAGGAAGTTCCTGCTGTTTATGTTCTCAGAGAACTTGTTGTCAACACCACTGGCTGAAAGGCAGCCCCGAACTGTCACAGAGCCAAGATTCACTAAAGATTCAAATAGTCGTCTGAGATTGGAACAAAAAATTCAGTCAAAGTCACATTTAGGTTCCAGTGCAGTTTAAAATATTTTTACAGAAAAATAAACAAGAACAAAAGAGACAAAAATGTGTCGTTACAGACTGAGCCTAAAGTTCAGTCTGTAAAAAACTACATTGGAACACAGTGTTATTCACACCCACGCATCAGAGTTAAACAAACGTTTTGAGAATAAGTGAAGGTTGTGTTCTAGACTCAGAGACCAGGTCTGGATCCTAGAAGTCAACACTCACACCCAGCTGACTGACACCAGGGTTCATTTGTCACATCTAGTTCAGTGACCTCTGAGTGAACTCATCATAAAACCACAGTCTCTTATTAATTCAGCTGACCCCTCCTCTTAAAGCTCGCTCATTAACATATCACCTCACGACAGTATAAGAAAGTCAGTTGGTCAGATTCTGGTCCCTGGTCTAAACTGGACCAGCTGTGTCCCCCGTCTGTTCCGCCTTAATTCTTGTCAGCGACATCTTTACTGCAGCGTTTATCTACGGTGTTTGGAGCCGCCCGGTGGAAACTGTTTCCTGTCTGGAAGTCCAGATGAATATCAGCAATCTGACCAGTCTGACCAGTGATGTTGATGGTGGGAAAATCTGGGAAAACCCCACACCGTCCCACTCTGAAGTGTAGCAGTTAGCTACGAGCGCTAGCTCGTTAATACAAGAGTTCTCTTCAGAATAAAAGCCCCAGAGATGATATAAAATCCCAAACACCTGTGTCTGTGGATCGTACCACGGTAGAGATCGTGAGTCTGGCACGACGTTGACATTTGAAAGGGCGTCGACATAATTAAACTGTCATGTTTACAATGACTGGAGGAGAGACTGGAGTGCAGAGAAACCTCAGTGTCAGCAGATGATCTGACCGCAGGCACAGACACACAGCACCTCCCAGCCACTTCTCCACCACAGAGGACTGGGCTCAGGGCTTTATAAGTGGAGGATTATCATGTACACATTATGACAACAGTGAGAGGAGGCGTGAGGGTTCAGATCCTTTTATATTTCCCCTGTGGTGTGTGTGTGCAGCGCCACCATGTGGCCAAGCCTCTCCGCAGTCATGTGACCACACTGTGTGTTTTCACTGACTTCAGTAGAACCATAGAAATAACGACACATCTCCCTCAGACTGTTGAGAACCTGGTAACATGAATATTTTTATCTGTACAAACCGCTGTATGAGTTACTGCCACCTAGTGACCGGAGGCTGGTTATCATTCAAGCATTACAGCTGTAGTACACTTACGTCCAAAAGCCATATTCCATTGGAAACCCTGCACGCCCCCTCCCTCCCCTCGGCATCACGCCGGACCTCCCCCAGGGGCCCAACCCACTATTTGAGAAACATTGGCCCAGTCGTATGACAGTCAAAAGTCAAAACAGCGTTGACTTTTTGGACTTTTCTAATGTCAATCTTTTTAGGTATTTGTGCCCTGCTGGTTTCACATATAATCTCTAATCTTTTCAGTCTGATTATGTCACATTTTTATCCTGTTTTCTTCTTTTCTTCCACTCCTCCAGCTGTGTAACCTGACATGGTGGACAATCAGTCAAGAGCCGCAGAGAGAGATCCCTCTTCAGAAGGTGTCCTCCATCAGCCACCGTAGCTCCCAGGGTAAAGGTCGGCCCGTCATGTGCTGAACACTCATCTAACATCTGTTCACGCTGCTGAGTAACTTCCTGTATCTGCAGTTTCAGGCTCGGAGCCAACGCGCCGCATGATGTGTGGTCAGAGGGTGGGCTTCTGTGTGTCTGCGGGGCAGCGCTCTGAGGAGAGCGCCGCTCCCGTGGTCCCCACGCTGAGAGAGAGCGTGTTCTGGTCCAGGTTCTGCTGTGCTAACGCCCTCCTGCTCATCAGCATTAACATTTTCCTCTACGCGTACTTCGCCTGAAGTCTGGAAGTCGTATTTCACCTCTGCACATGTTTTTGTTTCCCAGCTCCAAGAAAAGATTTGAGACTTGTTTTTTTTTTCTTTTTCTTCTGAATGAGAAACCTGAGAAAACGTGTGCAGAGTATTTGACCGAGTGAAGGCAGCAGCTGTTTTTGTCTTTCATAAGAATGAGAAACCTGAGAAAACGTGTGCATTGAGTATTTGACCGCGTGAAGGCAGCAGCTGTTTTTGTTCTGAGAAAACGTGTGCAGAGTATTTGACCGCGTGAAGGAAAATCCCCTTTAATTGAAAGCTCACCACTAATAATAATAAAGATAAAAATAAATAAAAGAGTGTTACAGTTGAGGTTTTCACCAGTATCAAAAACTAAAAAAAAAAGAGCCATGTTTTGATGTTTAATTAATTAATGATAATAATTACAGTGTAGTTAGCAACATTTTCTTTCTTAATCTTTAAATTTAACTCCAAGTTTTTATTTTTTTATACCTTGGAAATTAGTTTTCTTACACCTGAAGCCCCAGGAGAATATATATATATATTTACACATAATCTGAGTCATAAAAAAACACATAAAGTTCTGTTGCATTTGTAAAATGTTTCATCAAAGAAAATGAAGGTGTCAAAATTCAAACGTGTTGTAGGTGTGGTTGTGAGAATTAGTGAAATGTTAGGAAGTACAAATTGTTAACTGTGGAGTAGAGTGTGTCCTGAATAATAAATGTGTAAACGTCTGAGTGTCTTCAAACACAACCAACAGTATTTCTGGCTGTATTTTGTCACCATCGACGTCAGGAGTCTCGACAGTGTTGTGTATTTAACGTGCATTATCTGTACATGCTATTTACACAGCTGTCAACAGGTGGCGCTGGGTGCAGTTTGCTGCTCAGAACACAGTAAGTCCATTGTTTGCACCTGGTCAACACACTCATGACTCCGTGTTTGTTCTTCTCACACAGACGTGCAGGTCAGAGGTCACGCAGAAAAGTCTGAGGGACAGAAGTCCACGACGGCTGCGTCCGTGAAGGTGACGTTTCTGAGAACTCTTACTGTCATCAGTAGATCATGACCTCATCAAAGCTCAGCCTCTGTTTTTCTGTTATACTGTGAGTATATGAAGTATTTGCCTCTGAGTATTTCAGTACGTGTTCGTACTTAAACTGGCCCTGAAGGAACAGATCAAGAATTTGGAATTAGGAGCTGAACTCCCTCAGTGAAGATCAGACCTCAGGTCGTCTCGATGTAGCATTTCAGAACATGATTTGAAAAAAATAATACTACTCTTTAAATATATTAAATAGGGATGTCCAATAAAATCGGCCGACAGATATTGTCATAATGTAATATCTTTAAGAAAAGTTATCGTTTTTTTTCTCCGATAATGAAATCACCATAACACGGTGCCTGGGTTTCCCAAAAATAACGTGTGTCCTAACAATAGTTTTGGGGATAAACGGCTGCATATTAAAGTGATAGTCACTAGATGGCAGCACTGCAGCTCATTTAATTAATCTATTTTAATAATCAGGGGATTGTATGCAGAATGAATCGATATCGGAATCAGAAATTAAGCGTTTGGACAATATTAGCATTTCAGATATCGACAACACGTTAATATCGGACATCCCTAATATTAAATTTAACTTCTATGGAATTTTATCTTTTTGGAATTTCCCAGTGTGAGCTTTGACTAAAACATGTTTATTAAATGCATCGTATCGTTCTCTAATATTCATGTGAGGCCGATGTCTATTTTTACACTGGATGTTTTAATGTGTTCAACTCTGAGAACTGTTTTATTGTGGCTGTTAAACAGTAAATGGTTTACTGTTCCATATAAGGCCATAAGGAAGTTCCATTAGTTTTACAGTAATACACACTGACCAACCGTGTTGTGCAGTGTTTAATTTTAATGAATATTTCTTTATACTTTAAAGTACAATCTGTGACATTTTTGTCGTTTTTCATTTAAAGTACAATCTGTGACATTTTTGTCATTTTTCATTCATTATTCTGTACTCTCTCTCTCTCTGTCTCTATCTCTCTACCTCTCAGTGATAATATATTTGGACGAATTCCGGTGAAAAGAATCCCACTCGGCCTCGACAGCGCCCTCTCCAGGTCTGCGGGCCGGAGCAGTCGAGCACATCGATGACATCTCCTCGCAGGAGGTGCAGGTGGGTGGTTTGAGGAGGGTTGTAGTCGCAGAGGGCACGAGCCACGAGACGTTTCTAGACAGAGGCAGAGCAGAGCAGAACTTCTCACCGTCTCAAACATCTTCTCACACTTGAACCAAATACTTTTGAATGAAAAAAACTCTGGGTTCACACTAGAACATTCTCTAAAGAAAAACACAGACAGGGGGCAGCATCGCTTCATCTCCCTCTTCTCTTTAATTACCCCTGAAAGCGTGTCTCTCTCCGGCTGAGCGTAGACACGGCCTGATGGGGTGAACTCCTGAGAACTGCTCAGGTATGGGTTGGGATAGGGGTTAGAACCAGAACCAGAACCAGGCTGGGAGGGGGGGTGAGGAGACAAGGGGGGGTCTCTGAGGTAGACAACTTCCTCCACATCGATGCTGTGACTACGGTAGAAGTCCACCAGGCGGTTGAGGGACCGGAAGGACTTGTCCCAGATGCAGTACTGACCGCCCTTCTCAAGGACTCGGAAATGCTCCACTCTGTCACCGTAGCTGCAGAACAGGAGCAGAACAGGAGCAGAACAAGAGCAAAACAAGGAGCAGAACAAGAGCAAAACAAGGAGCAGAACAAGGAACAGAACAGGAGCAGAACAAGAGCAAAACAAGGAGCAGAACAAGCAGCGGAAAAGGAGCAGAACAAGGAACAGAACAGGAGCAGAACAAGGCGCAGAACAAGAGCAGAACATGAGCAGAACAAGGGGCAGAACAGGGAGCAGAACAGGGAGAGGAACAGGAGCAGAACAAGAGCAAAACAAGGAGCAGAACAAGGAGTGGAACAAGGAGCAGAACACGGAGCAGACCAGGAGCAGAACAAGCAGCAGAACATGAGCAGAACACGGAGCAGACCAGGAGCAGAACAGGAGCCGAACAGGAACAGAAAAAGGAGCAGAACAAGGAACAGAACAGGAGCAGAACAGGGAGCAGAACAGGGGCAGAACCAGGAGCAGAACAGGAGAAGAACAAGGAGCAGAACCAGGAGCAGAACAAGCAGCAGAACATGAGCAGAACAAGGAGCAGAAAAAGGAGCAGAACAAGAGGAAAAAAAGGAGCCGAACAAGGAGCAGAACACGCGCAGAAGAAGGAGCAGAACAGGAGCCGAACAGGAACAGAAAAAGGAGCAGAACAAGAGCAAAACAAGGAGCAGAACAAGGCGCAGAACAAGAGGAAAAAAAGGAGCCGAACAAGGAGCAGAACACGGAGCCGAACAGGGACAGGAACAGGGGCAGAACAGGAGCAGAACAAGAGCAAAACAAGGAGCAGAACAAGAGCAAAACAAGGAGCAGAACAGGGGCAGAACCAGGAGCAGAACCAGGAGCAGAACAAGCAGCGGAAAAGGAGCAGAACAAGAGCAAAACAAGGAGCAGAACAAGCAGCGGAAAAGGAGCAGAACAAGAGCAAAACAAGGAGCAGAACAAGAAGCAGAACAGGAGCAGAACAAGGAGCAGAACACAAAGGGAACAGGAAAAATTAAACCTGAGCATATTTTTATGTCTCATGATCTGTTAAACTGTAGAAATGACCTCAGTTTCCCTCCACATGTGTGGGCCACTCTGAGGTTGTGTGTGGGCTGCATGTGGGCCTCAGACCACGCTTTGAAAAGGCAGGGTTTCAAATGTGATAAACCTACGTTTGCGAATTGTCACCATAAGGAGGAAACAGAAATGAGGGCTCTGTAACAATTCAGAGCTGTATTTTAACCGTTGGTCTTATGGAGTGGATGCTGTTTAATCAAATCAGTTTTCTGACTTTTACTCCGTCAGTCAGTCCATACAGACTGAACAGTACTGTCCACTGGTGTGACTGGCTCTCAGTTTTCACTTCCTGTTTCTCAGTGTGTATTTAGGAAGTCGTTTTTGTTCCTGTGTAGCTGTGACTGTTTTGGGCTGTTTGTTAAAATAGAACCAGGGATCAGGACAAAACAAATGTTCATTTTAATCAACGGCTTCAATTCTACAAACCCAAACTCCTCATCAGTCAGTTTCTGCCTCAGGTCTAGAACCCTCACCCTCCGTCATCATGTGGAGAACAGTGGAGCTCTGAACACTGCAGCTGTGACCCAGGGTCAAAGTCCACAGCATATTTGGACCCTGTGTACAATAAAGTACTCTGTACTCCGGAATATTTTAGTAACACAGGGTCACTTCATGAAATACTGCAGTTTCATTATAGTGGATCAAACAAACGCTGTTTCAAATGAGTCACGTGAGATTTTATTAAATTATAGGAAATGTCAATATTTTAGTTTGAAAAAATGTTTTTTTATTTCATGCTGTCTTATAATATTACAAACCAAATGGACTGTTTTGTCTGTTGACGTTGCTGAAACGCTTAGCTCAACACTTCTGCCCTCTTCTGGTCTTTATGGGGAAGTGCACTGTTAGTTAGAACGCATTGCCCCTAAAGAGAAACCTAAAAGACAAACATATTTAGACTAAATGAGATTATTTAACGGATTAAGGGATTAGTAATAGTTTAAAGTTAACTATAAAAACCAGTAAAACATTTAACAGGTCGGTTCTTCTTCAGGTACAGACTCGCTGGTCAGTCTGAAACGTGTCAGTTGTGAAGTAAAAAAAGTCTGTTGTCAAAGAGCGTTACATAACGTTTTTATTGTGATTGAATGATTAAATGGGTCAAATGTTGCTGTTACATCTGACCATCACCCAACCCCCCCCCGCCCGCTGCACTGCTGTGGTATTTATAGTGTTTTTTGTAGAACAGTATTCAGAACAGAACGGCTTCATCAGGCACTGACACACACTGACTGACACACACTCTGACTGACACACACTCTGACTGACACACACTCTGATTTATATATGTGTTTATAGCGCCCCCTGGATGGAAGAACGAGCAGCTCCATGATCTGTGTTGCCTTCACTGACCTTACAGAGACGGAAAATTCTCCTGGAGCTGATTCGCTGCCCCTCACCAGGAACACTCCAGTAACCTGCCACCAGAGGCGCTGCTCAGCCTCCAGTCGTGTTATCTGGCCCACAAACCATCTGTAGAAACACACACACACAGAGGAACAGTAGACAACAACCTAAAATACACCACGGACACTGAACGTTACATCAACCTGTCGGAAGATTCCAACTGAATATTTACAAATGCTGCTACGGTGTGATGTTGTTGAAGGTTAGCATGTGTGATGTTAAAGGTTAGCATGTGTGATGTTGTTGAAGGTTAGCATGTGATGTTGAAGGTTAGCATGTGTGATGTTAAAGGTTAGCATCAGCTGAACATAGAACAACGTGACATTTTCTACCTTTGAGGCAGGAGAGAAACGTGGTTTTCTGGTACGTAGCCGCGCTTCCCCTGGATCTCTGCTGTCAGCCAACCAGAATCGTCCTCTGTTTCAATCACCTACAACAATCAGACACAGGATTCAGACTTTTGAGTTTTAATTTAATTTTTTTGTTTTTAAACATACTGTACCTTGATTATGTCTCCTTTGTGAAAACAGAGCTCGTCGTCTTCTGACGGTGAGAAGGAGAACAGAGCCACGGACTCCATCCTGACCAGAGAGACGGAGTGAACAGGGCTGGGACTGGAGCCCAGCAGGACCAGCACACTTTATTAGATGAGATAATCTGTGTGTGTGTGTGTGTGTGTGTGTCTGTGTGTCACACTCTTTACTTAATGAGCTGGGATTTCTCTGCACGTCCCATTTCCTCCCTGCCACTAAAATAGCCTGTCTATGATCACAGAGGAGAACTTGACTGTTCTTCTGTCCTACGGTCAAGGCCGGAAGTGCCCCCTCTGCTGGTCTGAACAGAACCTGAACCTTTGACCTCCTATAGTTATCATGAATATTTAGAAAAAAACCAAAGTGTTCTGTTCTAGTCTTTCATTCTCGGCTTTTCTCTTAGTTGCGCTGCTTTTAGTCACTTTTTTATCCAATCATATTTCAGCCTCACGTGTTGCTCTGAGGCCTTCAGAGTCAGTAGTAATGACACCGTTTCTTTAACCAATCGGATTTTGAGTTGGCGTCATGACGTTTCAGTCTCTCGTCTCTTTTCTTTTCCTCGTTTCTTTCTTTTGGGTAGAATGTTTTAACTGTAAGAAAATGAACAGGTGGCGGTGATTCACCTCAAAACTTGTTTTTTTTAACCAACGGTTATTACAAACATTAGAATTGCTTCTGGAAATTAGTCATAATTCTTCTTTTTACGACTTACCGGAAGTTGAGGTGAGTGTATTGACCGTACAGCAAAGTCACGGTGATGAACACGACTCAACCGTCCATTACAGTTAAAGTTACTTTTAGTTATTTTAACAGTTCTGTATAGAAACATAGACGACGTGGCAGAAAATAAGTTCTTGGTTTTTTTTTTTTAAACAAATCAGGTTTAGACTGGATTTATTCCAGAATTTAGTGTTGATCTCCGTGTTCACAATTTTAAGATTGAAAATCTTGTGTAAAGTACTGCCTGACTACTGTGGTTGGTTACAATAATCATGAAGAAATTCAACGATGTTTAATATATGACTGTATTTTATTTAACAAAAGTACCAAAAAAAAAATCAATCAACAGACAAAGTACGACTCGTTCTTCACGTTCTAACTGACCAACATCTGTCAGGTTGTATTTTGTTCAGTAACAGTCAACAATGACCTCTGGTCCTGCTGCTCTGTCTGTGTCTGTGTCTGTGTGTCCACGTCTGGTGGTCAGTATGTCCTGCAGCAGAGACAGAGGAGAGTTATAAACATGGTCGCTGCTTCGACTCAGTGTCTCCAGTCTGGTTTCCAGATCCAGAGACATCAAGGTTTGACACAGATGGACACACACTTCCTCTCCTGTCCCTCCTGTCTCTCCTGTCCCTCCTGTCTCTCCTGTCTCTCCTGTCTCTCTTGTCCCTCCTGTCTCTCCTGTCCCTCCTGTCTCTCCTGTCCCTCCTGTCTCTCCAGACACGTCTTCCACGGCTGCCTCCACGTCTCCATTCTTCTTCGTGGTCAGTCTTTTCCTGATCTCCCGTCCCCGGCCACAGCCCGGCGGTTCACAGGTCGCCACGGCAACTGCTGCTGTGGCAGGAACAGTCTCCGGTTTGTCCTGTGGGGGGGGGCAGATGGTGTCTCTGAGTGTGATCAGGAGCTGACAGGCTTTCAGACCCACGGGTCTGTCACAGTCCCCCAGACTCCTCAGTAATGCTGAGACCACGCCCAGCTCCACCACACGGTCCAACACAGAGACCAGACCCGACCCCACGGCCTGTAGGGGGCTCTCTGGGCTCCTTCTGTCACCTGGAGGAGCCAGCAGGAGCTCGGTCAGCTCCAGAGTGTGAACTTTGACCTCCCAGTCCAGATCAGAGCTGCCCAGAGAGAGAACAGAGCTCACAGAGCGCTCCAGGAGAGAGGAGGAGGAGGAGGTGGAGGGGGAGGGGGGGGGGGGGGGGGGGGGGGAGGAGGAGGAGGAGGAGGAGAGTGACGATACGTTTGAGGAAGATGAAGAAAACCAGGTGATGAAATACTGAACAACAGCTCGTCTGGGAAATCCCTCTGAATCCTGGGAGAGAATGTCCAGCAGCTGCTTCACGATGTCCCTCTGTAGGAAGAGAATAAACGACATCAATGAACAGAAATGAAAGAATGAATGAATGAATGAACAGAAATGAACAGAAATGAACAGAAATGAAAGAATGAATGAATGAATGAATGAACATAAATGAATGAATGAACATAAATGAATGAATGAACATAAATGAATGAATGAATGCACAAAACGAATGAACAGTAATGAAAGAATGAATGAATGAACAAAATGAATGAACAGAAACGAATGATTGAATGAACAGAAATGGATGAATGAATAGAAATGAATGAATAGAAATGAATGAATGAACAGAAATGAACAGAAATGAACAGAAATGAAAGAATGAATGAATGAATGAACATAAATGAATGAATGAACAGAAACGAATGATTGAATGAACAGAAATGAATGAATGAATAGAAATGAATGAATAGAAATGAATGAATGAACAGAAATGAATGAATGAATGAACAGAAATGAATGAATGAATGTCAGTGAGTCTGAATCTTATCAGATGCTCATTACAACAGACTAAAACAGTTCATTCAAAAACTAACAGCTTTATTGTTTGTTTAATTTTTTTATATATATTTCTTAGTGATAAAGTTAAAAGAACGACCGACCTCCTCCTGTGTGACTGCTGCCCCCTGCTGCCAGCCGCACGTCAGCGTCTGTGCCAGCGCTGAGATGGCGCTGGCTCTCACGTAGCTTTCCACATCCTGCAGCGCCTCCCTGAGGAGCAGAATGCTAAGCAGCTGTCCAGAAACGGCTCGAACGCCTCAGCTGATCTCGGGATTCCCGCCAATTTCCCCAGAAACTCCACCGTTGAGTCCCTGACCTCCCAGCGCATGTCACACACCCGCTTCCTCACGACATCGGTCAGATCTGACAGAAACACACGGAGGTCAACGTTCGTCACAGACCGACTGTGACGTAGACGGACGGAGCGCCATCAGGTGGCGGCTGGTGAACGTTACCTCGTCTGAGCTGCTCTGTTACGGAGGAGTGATCGTCACACACACTGAGCCACTGCACCACAGCCTGGTAGGACTTGTGTATCACCTGAGAAACACACAGAAACAACACATTTAACGACGCAAAGACATCGTTAAACTGGCTAAAAAAATATGACAGTGATTTGTTTATATATTTATTGGCCACAGACCAACACTGTCTCCTCAACTGTCGACAGTGATTTGTTTATATATTTATTGGTCACAGACCAACACTGTCTCCTCAATGTCCTGAGCAGAAACTGATGTTGGCCAAAAATGAGCTCTTAAACTGCCCCCTGGTGGATGTATTGCATACTACCATGCAAAGCCTAAGACTGGCACTGAAGAATGTGAAGGCAGTAAACGTTCAAACCTGTGTGTAGGTAAAAGAAACTACTCACTAACTAACATGGTACAGACAAAACCATCACAACATAAAAACACACTCACAGTTGGATCAGAGTCTGGGCTGTTCAAACATCTGACCAGAACTGGAAACACCTGGTTCAGTCCAGCTTTAACTCCTGAAACACACATGAGAATTATTCGTAATTATTGGCGCCCCCTGGTGGGGATCTCACCCTCACTTTGGGAGCTCCTGCTGACCTCTCTGAGAGCAGCCGGACTTTAATGATGTCATGATGAAGTTCTACCTGTGCTGCAGCTGAAGGCTGTCAGCGCCTCGAGAGCACATTTCTGAACTTTGCTGCTGCCGACGATGTTCTTGAAAACCTCCTTACGACCGTTAGACGTGACTCCATCACCGCTGCTTATTCTCAACAACCACAGAACTGCAGCGACAACGGCATCAGGAGGAGCGGGGAGAAGGTGAGGAGGCTGGGGAGGAGGAGAGAGAGAGAGAGGGTGAGAAAGTGAACTAACTAACCCTTTAACCTGCTGCGTTACCACAGGAGGCTCCGCTCTCACCATGGCTGTGATCGTTGGAGCGTTCCTCAGACACAGACAGAGGATGGAGACGCAGGAGCTTTTACTCCTCAGCTCCTCCAACAGGGTGAACTGAGGAGGTTCATCTGGAGGGAGAGAAGAAATGTTCGTCACCAACAGATTCCCAATCGTGTCTACGTCTACGAAGGGTTAAACTGAGGCTCACCTGTGTTGTTTCTGCTCAGTGCAGGTTGACCAGTTACCACCTCCAGGGGCAGCAGCAGGATCCTCACGGCTCGGGCCGTGAAGACGTCATCTCTGAGGAGGAAGATGGGAAAAAATACAAAGGTTTTTACTGATGAGGCTGAGTGACAGTGGGTGAAGGTGTGTGTGTGTGTGTGTGTGTGTGTGTGTGTGTGTGTGTGTGTGAAGGTTTGCTTACTGTTTCCCTTTGTGAAGAAAAGCCGCTGCGGCGTGAATGAGGTCCGAAGCTTTGGTCAAGTTCAGCATAGATGACAGGAGGTCACAGACGTGTCCATCTGGGCCACCGTCCCACCTGGAGTTGACCCCCCTTTAGGAAAAGAGATAAACACAAAATGTTTACAATGAAAGTGAGTTTTACTGTGAATCTCAAATTACTGTTAAAAAATGTCATTATTTATTTATTTATCTGTAAAAACCACTGTATGAGTTGCTGCACCAGCATTTCCCCTGATTATTAAAATAGATTCATCAAATGAGCTGCAATGCTGCCATCTAGTGACTCTCAGCCGTTTATCCCCAACAGTATTTTTAAGGGAATACATTATTTTGGCATTACCCAAAGAAAAATCTGATAAGGAGTTCATTTAAAAGTTAAAATAAAAATGTCTTCACCTGTGTGCAGCCACTATGACATCCATCAGGGAGTGTGTGAGGTGACTGTGTCCTGCAGCCACCAGTCTTCTCAGAGGCTCCGTCACTGACTGAAGCAGCAGGTCCCGCAGCACTGGCCCAGCCTGGTCCAGAACCATGGTCAGGAACCTGAGCTCCTGCTGTGTGTGGCTGGTGTTGGTGTGGAGCAGCGACTCCTCCGTGAACTCTGAGATTGTTCTGAAAACAGCAGAATAATCCTGGCTGGTTTCTACAGACGACTCTGGTGGACCCGTGTCTGTGGCCCCGTCCCGTGTCCTGGTGCCCTCTATGGGATGGACACCGTTAGAGCCTGTGGACGACACCGGTTGGAAGAAGAGCAGGATGTGGGCGAGCAGGTGGTTTGCAGCTGAGGCAACAAAGAGACTGGAGTCTGTCTGGAGGTGAAGTAATGTTGGAATGAAATCTGGAGAATTAAAAATCACATGTCAATAACAATGAAGGTCAACACTGGACTTAATGAACAATAACTGCCATAAATGATATCAAATGTGTTCCACATTGATGTTGACATGAGAAACAAATGGTCTCTTCACAAATGTGTAGATTTACCTGCTTGTACAAAGAAGCTAAGAGCAGCTGAGTGCTGCAGCAAGTTCCTCAGACCCTGGATCCAACCAACCCGGACACACGGATCCTCCCAGAGTCCTGCGTCCTGCCAGCGCTGACGGTCAAAGGCTAGGTCCAGGACGGAGCAGTCCTAGAAAGGAGACAAATGGTAATCATGTAGCTTATTTATATATATTTTTTTAAAAGTACATTTAACTTCTTAACAGTCCTAGAAAGGAGACAAATGGTAATCAGGTAGCTTATTTATATATATTTTTAAAAAGTACATTTAAAATAGGTCTAGATTCTATTTTTGTGTTTTAAGATCTTTTCATTTTCAGATTATTACTTACCTGAAGTGTTTTGAAGGCACGCGATTTTGCAGCTAAAAAGCCTGAGAGCTTCAACACAAAGGAAATGACTCCAGGCTCTGATGAAGTTTTGTGAATAACAGCTGATATGAAACTGAGCAGACATGGATGATCCTCCAGCAGAGATCTATTTTCTAAAGGAGAGATGAACATGATTTAGTTGTTAACACCCTGTCAGGACCTTTTTTTTTTATTTCTATAACCAATGACACCGATGATGATACTAACCAGCCGGGGCAAGTCCTGTGAACCAGTCCAGTAGTTTCTCCAGGATGGTGTCATCAGCCAGTGATGAACCAGACTCCAGCAGTACCTGACAGACCTGGGGCAGCAACAGGAAACAGTCCCTGTCCATGGTACTGACTCTGTCTGGGAAGAATAAGGAGGCTTGTCAGAGCCAGTAGTACTAGTTTCAGAAAATCGTTTGTTTTGTTTTGTTTTTGTTTTGTTATTGTTAAAAATGTGGAGTTAATCTTTGTTAAGTTAAGGTCTAATTAAGTCTGTCCAGATTAATTAAAAAAGTAATTTGGACAAATTAATTAAAATGGGAAATTCTACCGCTGCTGCTTTTTTCTAGTAAAAATGGCCATGAATCTTATTTAGTTTTTCTTTTTTATAAACTGGTTAAAAACACAAACATTTTTAAAGGTGAAGTTGCGACATTGTTTCATGAATTTAAAGCTCGAGTCGTGTTTCAGTCTCAACAGCGGAGACAGGAGAGTAAATAAATATTATAGAATCAAACTGACGTAAAAGTGCCGTAAAACACCAAGACCCTAACGACAGCAAACGTTCTTACCGTTCACAGTCTGGCAGCTGATGAGGCCTTTCAAGTGAGAACATTCAATAGTTGTTCATACATTCTATATTTCTTCTGAACGTCCTTCTCGCGTGAAGTATTTTCTCTTCTGCATAGAATCAGCGGCTTCACGCTTCCGTAATACGTCAGAGTCAAACGTAGCGGAATAGCGGGAGCAGAAGGCGCCGATTTATACATAAAAGTATAGGCTTAGTTCTATTGGTTTGCGCCGAACACAGTTACATCCACATGATCTACAGCTTTACTTTTCTCACGCAGTACGTTCGTTTTCGAGTAGCTTCCGGTTTTGAGCTTCCGCCGCTTCGTCCATTTTCGCGTAGCCGCACATGGTGCCACACCGGTCGTACGCCTTTAGCCTCTTCGTTTGAGGGTTTTTTTTTGATCCTTTGTAGCGACCTGTCCAATACGGATTCCTGTTAAATGCAAGAAACGGTGGATATGGTGGACGATCCCGAGTATGAAGAGGAGGAACCTTCCTTCAGCGACCCGGAGGACTTCATCGACGACGTCGAGGACGAGGGTGAGCGGCAGAAAGAAATACGCCGGCTTTTTGGCCTGTTGCTAACCACGGCGCTAACACTTAGCCGGCACCGAGCAGCCGCTCTGCTGCACATGATACAGCGCTGCCGTTACGCCCTGCCGTTACCAGTTGAAAAGGACATTTAATGTCAAGATTTACCAACTGTGAGCCGTTAACATATTCTAGACTAAGAGACAAATGTTAATGAATCACCATCACCATTGTAGCCTCAAGCAGAATGTTTCACCGTGGCCTTGTCTCTCTGTCATAATGGAGGAACGATAGAATTACAATAAGTCTTTTCATTATCCAACTATAATTTACTTTCACAGTGTTGTCTGTGGTTTTATGTGGAGCCCTGGTGGTGAAAGATAGATTTTGACTTGGGTGGAGACAGATGTTCTGTCTCTGTTCGCCGGTCTAGACTGATAAGACGGAGGGGGGAAATAGACTGTTTCACTCGGGTGAAGGAGAAGTAGATGTTGAAACAACTGAAGGATAAATTTGACTTTTAGGTTTTTGGACACAATTTTAACAAACAGTTCTCGCCAATTTCACTTGTCCAGTTCAGATGACAGCAAATATGCTGCCACTACTATCCATCACAACGTGTTCACTGGGTTTATTTTGGGATCTGCCATTTTGCTTTTGTGTAAAATAAAAATAATAAACTGGTTTAAATAAGGAAGCTGGAAAAATACATAAAGTTTGTGTCTGGCTAGGAATTATTCGCCAACTTGTTTTCCAACAGATTTTAAAATGTGGCCAATGTGAACACTTTTGGAGTTTGTACAGATTAGATCATCAAATCAGATGTTTCTGGTTCCAATCGTTGTCTTCTGTCTTTCCTGTGGCCCTCAGAGCTCCTCGAGGACATCTTGAGGGAGAAGCCTCAGGAGGCCGATGGCATTGACTCGGTGGTGGTCGTGGACAACGTTCCTCAGGTGGGCCCAGAACGTCTGGAGAAGCTCAAGAACGTCATAAACAAGATTTTCTCCAAGTTTGGGAAAATCACCACAGAGTTCTACCCAGAGGCCGACGGTTTGACTAAAGGGTACGGACCTGGTTTCTCACCCGTGTCTGTGTGTGTGTGTGTGTGGAACAACATCTTAAAGTTTAATGTTAGATTTTAACTGAAACGTACATTTCTAGGTACATCTTCCTGGAGTATGCATCTCCGTCTCAGGCCCTGGATGCAGTGAAGAATGCAGATGGTTACAAACTGGACAAACAGCACACGTTCAGAGTCAACCTTTTCACTGACTTTGACAAGTGAGTCTCATTCAAAATTGAGCACAAAGTAGAGACACAAAAAAACCTGTTAAACCAACCGATAATTACCACGTGTTCTTCCCTCCGTAGATACATGAACATCAGTGATGAGTGGGAGACTCCAGAGAAGCAGCCGTTCAAGGACTTTGTGAGTTTTTCTTTGGTTTCATTAATAAATGCTGTAACTCTTTGACTGAACTTAAAAAGATTGCGTTTGCGTCTCTGTAACCCTGTAACGTTTGTTCTTCTGTTTGTCCAGGGCAACATGCGCCACTGGATCGAGGACCAGGACTGTCGTGACCAGTACAGTGTGATCTACGAAGCCGGGGAGAGGACCGCCATCTTTTCAAATGATTCTAAAGAACCAATCGTCTCTGAAGAGAGAGCAGTGATGTGGAAATATAAAAAATATATATAATATTATATTTTATATTTAGAAATATTAAAATTTAAACCCAATTTTCTCCTGGCAGCGTTGGACGGAGACGTACGTGCGCTGGTCTCCCAAAGGCACCTATCTGGCCACGTTCCATCAACGTGGTATTGCATTGTGGGGCGGTGAGAAGTTCAAACAGATTCAGAGGTTCAGCCACCTGGGTGTGACGCACATCGACTTCTCACCGTGCGAGAGGTAACGGACGTCCAGCTTGTGTTGAGAGTCTTCAGTTTCTTCAGAGAAACATCAGGCGAGGCGTTGCCGGAGCCTCATGTGTCGTTGTGTGGTGTTGTCTGATAGGTACGTGGTGACCTTTAGTCCACTGATCGACAAGAAGGAGGACCCTCAGGCCATCATCATCTGGGACATTCTGACTGGACAGAAGAAGAGAGGCTTCCACTCTGAGAGCTCTGCTCACTGGCCCATTTTCAAGTCAGTTCCTTCATGAAATATTTTCACTTTCAGTTTCATGAATTCTCTGAAGTTCCTACGCTTTGACTGTGGCCCCCTGGTGTTTGTACGTACTCTACCGTAACGTTGTCTGTGTTCAGGTGGAGCCACGATGGGAAGTTCTTCGCCAGGATGTCCACGGACACGCTGAGCATCTATGAAACTCCTGTGAGTTTTTATATATATTTCTAGTACTCTAAGTAAACAGTTGACGTCGTCCTGGGTGTTATTTTGTCGTGACGTTGACGCCGTGTTTCTCTGCCCACAGTCCATGGGTTTACTGGACAAGAAGAGTCTGAAGATTAACGGCATCAAGTCAGTGGTTGTCTGTGTATCTGTATGTGTTTATACCACGTGTACACACGTGTTCTGATGTTGTCTTGGATCCACAGTGACTTCTCATGGTCCCCCGGTGACAACATCCTTGCCTTCTGGGTCCCTGAGGACAAAGACATCCCAGCCAGAGTGACTCTGATGCAGCTGCCTTCTCGCCAAGAAATCCGAGTCCGTAACCTGTTCAACGTGGTGGAGTGCAAGCTGCACTGGCAGAGGAACGGAGATTACCTGTGTGTGAAGGTGGACAGGACTCCTAAAGGAACACAGGTGAGACATACTGTACCGTACTGTACCGCACCGTACTGTACTGTTGGTGCTGAGGCAGATTTGAGCTGACGGTTAGAAATATACTGACATTGTATCATTCCATACTTTGTAGGGCGTGGTCACCAACTTTGAAATTTTCCGCATGAGGGAAAAGCAGGTTCCTGTGGATGTGGTGGAGATGAAAGGTTTGGACTGACTGGCTCAGTCACTCTGTGCTGTCGGTTCTAAAGACAACTCTTCTACTCATACTTTATTTTTTCTTTACAGAAAGCATCATCGCTTTCGCCTGGGAACCGAACGGCAGCAAGTTTGCCGTCCTCCACGGAGAGTCTCCCAGGATCAGTGCTTCCTTCTACTACGTCAAGAACAACGGCAAGATCGAGCTTCAGAGTGAGTAAACGGGAGACGTGCACCTTCAGAAGACGTTCACTGTCCAAACGATGACGTGTGAATCAAACGTGCTCTCTCTCCTGCAGAGATGTTTGACAAGCAGCAGGCCAACAGTATCTTCTGGAGCCCACAGGGACAGTTCTTGGTGCTGGCTGGACTCAGGAGGTCAGTGACCTCTGCTCTCTCTGTGTGAATGTGAAACGCACACAAACAACCACTGATGACAAACCTTACAGTTTCTGACACCTCGTATGAGAGCTCAGCTCCTGATTCTAACTCTGCTCTGAGGTCGCTGTGTTTTCAGCCGCGCTCCCGTCCGTCTTTCTCTTCTACTGTTTCTAAAAACCTGGTGTGTCTGAACTGTCTGCAGTTTGAACGGAGCTCTGGCCTTCGTGGACACGTCAGACTGCACCTTGATGAACATAGCCGAGCACTACATGGCCTCGGACGTGGAGTGGGACCCCACCGGACGCTACGTGGTCACCTCCGTCTCCTGGGGGAGCCACAAGGTGGCGTTTTTGGTTTTTTTTTTTTGTTTGTTTGTTTGCTTTTTATTCAGACCATTCAGGTTTTGACAGGTTTTTGTTTTTTTATTTTTGTCCAGGTGGACAACGCCTACTGGCTGTGGACGTTCCAGGGTCGTCTCCTGCAGAAGAACAACAAAGACCGTTTCTGTCAGCTGCTGTGGAGGCCCAGGCCCCCCTCCCTCCTCAGTTCAGAACAGATCAAGGTATCACTTTACTCTAAAACTTGACCAGAAATCTGAGTTTCTTTGTCTTTGTAGTCTTCGAATTGACAGCGTTTGAAACTTGAACGTAAACAGAACATTTTTACATCTGAACCTCTGGTTTGAGTCACAAGGTTCATGTGAAGATGAAACTTTTTCATTTCATTCCACTGACAACACTGAATTTTATTTCTGTTCTGCTGCAGAATATCAAGAAGGATCTGAAGAAGTACTCCAAGATCTTTGAGCAGAAGGATCGTCTGAGCCAGTCCAAGGCCTCCAAGGTTTGAGTTTGGTTTTTCTATCTGTAATTTGTGCTGCAGCTGCTTCTTGTTCAGTAGATTTGATTCTGTCTTGATGACAAGAACAAATATTTTTTTGTTGGTTTTCCAGAGGACTTTTCCACATGTTACACTGTATTTTCTGTATTCAAATGAAACTCTGGTTTTTCTCCGTTCTCCCAGGAACTTGTGGACAAGCGCAGAGCCATGATGGACGACTATCGTCGCTACAGGGAGACAGCGCAGGAGAAGTACCTGGAACAGAAGAGTGTTCGCCTGGAGCTCAGAGGAGGTCCGTCGTCCTGCTTGGTTTTCACCCTCTTTATTTAAATGTATTTTATTTTTTTCTATTTATTTAAAAAAATGTTTTGTGTTGCAGGAGTGGACACCGACGAGCTGGACAGTAACGTGGACGACTGGGAGGAGGAAACTATTGAGTTTTTTATCAACGAAGAAATCATTGCCCTCGGAGACCTGTAGTCCTCTACACAGGTAACAAAAATGCTGCCATCTAGTGGCAGTACTGTAGCCTATGAGGTTAATGCCACACATCAGTTGGCAAAACCAGACATTCCATTATCGGGTTTTCTTTATCAGAGCAGAAACCATTAACGAGTCTTTCAGATGTTATATCATCACACTGATATCAGGTCAATATTCTTCTTCTTCTTCTTGTCTTCACAGTCGTTCCATTTTTGTGTGAAAGGAGGAGATTGGAATTGTGTCGTTGATTGGAGAAGGACAAGGACCACGCTGTGAATCTCTGGGGTTGACCTCTGGTGACACATTAGCCACATCGAGACGACTGACGGATCAACACCCACTTCAGAGGAGAGCGGATATTTTATATTCAATATTTCAATATTACAGTTTACCTCACCATCATCTGTGGAACATCATCATCCATATTTACAGTCAAACAACCTTGTTTTTTTTTTTATATATATATATACAATAATTGGACTCACTGTGTCGGACCTTTCTTACTGAACTAGCCTCACCATGCTAGTGTGCCATCACCACAGGGCAGAACACGGTGCCGTACCAGGAGGTGGCAGCAGTGGTGGTGTTGTGATGAAACAAAACGCTTCGTTAATAAACGTGTCGATGTGGCACTACAGCGGCCTCTATCCTCCTCCATTCAGAATAGGCTTTCACACAGGGAGGGGTCGAGTGGTGGGAATAAGTTTAAATAAACATCTAAGCTCCGTACTTCCTGTCTGTGTCTCCGTTTGATCTGTGCCATGAACAAATCAATTCCAGCTGCAGGGCCCCCACAATGGGACCTGTCCGTCCCCCAGTCCCCCCCACCCCTGTCAGGGCCTGGCTTCTAGTTGTCAGACGGTAGTTTCTGTTGGTTATTTCTTTCTTTCAGATTGCAGCAGGAGACCACGCTGAAGTCACGACCAGCAGCTGAAAACCAAAACTTTGGAGTCTGAGAAGTCAAAGTGGGAGCTAACATTCCTGCCCCCCCCCCCTCCAGCCTTAGACTGGGTTTCTGTTCTTACCCCAGCAGTAGGTTCTTTACATCCAGGAGTTCCAGTTCTAAACCATGGTGTAAATCATGGAAGTGCAGAGAACATTCCGTCCTTAACTACAAGTTCTATCTCTGACGTTCAACCAGTCTGTGGTGACTGTGACTCCGGCTCCAAACACTCACGTCTTTCATCAGCTCAGAACATCAGAGCCGACGTTCCGCTCAGGTCCCACTGTGTATTTAGTGGTCGTAAAATATTTGGGTCAGACTGAGGTTGTGGGTTCTACTGAGTTACTGCTGCAGCAGCACGGAGACCTGCGGCCTGAGTTTGATCAGCTGCAGTCAAACATGAGGGGGGGGGCTGTGACTCATTAGTCCAATCACTGATGGAACAGTGAGGTCGGACGGATGTGGACGTTCACGCTCCGCTCTCGTCTTCAGGCTCATTAATCGCAGCAGAGCTAACGACGTTGTTGTTTAACTCCACAGTCTGTTGATGACTGGTTTACCTCGCTGACCGTGTCCACTGACCGTGTCCACTGACCGTGTCCACTGACCCCGCAGCGGTGTTTAGACTCCCTGAAGGTCCACTGTGTGAACGTTGGTGACACCTACTGCTGAGACTGCAGAATCCTCCACTTCACCGACACAAACTGAGACTGAACTGAGTGAAAATGAACAGGTTATTAGAGAACACAGAAAGTCACAAATATATACTGTATATATTTAAAACTACCATGATATGATTGTGAGGGTATTTCCAGACCAGTCCTGGGACATGTCACCTACTTCAGTTTGGAGCTGCTGTACAGTGACCTCTGCGTTGATCTCAGTATTTAGATGAGATATTCCAGGCCTGGTTCAGTGTCACGTTGACATCCTGCTGCTGTTCAGGCGTCTGGGCGTTTGATGTGGCGACACCGGCCGCCCTTTCATTTCCCCGTTGGCTCACAGATGGTATAAATACTCATTAGGAGGAACTTCTGCTGCCGTCTGTCTTCGTGAGAACACCAGGCTCGTGTGGACTCCTTTTCCCTGTTGTTAAACTTTATATAAATGCGTTTTAAAAAGACTGGAATTGAAGTCATCAGGTGCTGACGTTATAATATCCACAAAACGAGGACTTACGTTTTTAACGTTTCACTCACGTTAAGCAAAACGTTTCCCACTCCTCGTCTTCACTTCCATGACGTCACATTTTACCTTATTCAGCATTTTTTAAATGTCCAAAATTTGGTAAAGAATTGAGTTTGTGTCTTGAACAATAAGAAAATATAGTATGTATTTTATATAGAAAATAATATTAGAAATCACCGGTTATATCGATGTGATTTGTGCAGAAATACCAAATGATACCTTTGTTATCGATTCATTTCCATTTATCACAGTGGAGCCTCTTATTTAAAAAAAAGCCATTTTTAAATCTCGCGAGACTTTGTTCCCCTCTGTTGACACCACAGCGCGCTGCAGTGCCGCTGTGTCCACCCGGCTCATCATCTTCACCATCACCGCCGTACGAACAGAGCGGACTCCGGGGACGGAGCAGGAGACGAAGCACCGGGGCCGCGACATGGAGCTCATCAACCGGGTAAGAAAAAACAGAAAAGTCACAAAAGTGTGAACAACCGGGAATCTTAGGTAAAAAAAAAGTGCGGCGTTTTTAATTCGTTATATTGGTGAATAAAATGGACGGAGTCCGGGTTTGAACAGTGATGAAGGAGAAGCTTTTAGTCCGGACACAAAGCCGCAGAGATCGTTGACTCCATCCGTTCTCGAATGTTCTGTTCTGGAGTGAGAAGAAAGAGAGCGGGACGATGGATGAATGGGCTCTTTGTGAGCTTCTACTGTATAAATTAATGTCGTTTACCGACCGTGAGAGAGGAGGAGGAGGAGGAGGTGATGAGGAGTCAGTCCTCCGCTGCCACAAAGAAGAAGAAGAAGAAGAAGAAGAAGAAGAAGAAGAAGATGAACCCAGATATTCATGAATTCTCTGTCAGTTTTCAGCAGAAATCCCAGAGTCACAGACACCGTCAACGTACGTTTAAAAAAATATACTGTTTTTTTTTTTACCATGTGCGCGTGAGTGTCCACGTGTATTTGGTAACAGACGCGTGTGAAGACGCCAGAGGGTTAAAGGGTTAGTTCAGTTTTTAATTGTGGCTGTACAGAGTGAGGTTCTTGTTACAGGGACTCGGTGTTCTGTACATGGACCGCTGGAAACCCGAGAACCACAGTGTGATTCACACCATGTTCTTTTCTGATCCAGGAAACCGAACTTTTCACTGAGATTTGTCTTTTGAAAATCAAGTTTTATGAACACGAATTCTCTGTCTTTCCCGCAGGGGGTGCTGTTAATACAGTTGTGATGCCTTAGTTTTATGTGAATCTAATCATCGTTATGATATAGTGCAGAGCTCCTCTGTTCTGTGGTGTTGTACACCCCTGACTGGCTCGGCAGTACACGCCGTAATAACACCTGAACTGTCCCTTTAATACTGTTGACTTCTCAGAATAGCTTTCTCCAGTCGACGTGGAGTTAGATTTAAAAAAAAGGAGAAAAAAACCCTTCTGTGGAAAGACACGCCGCAGGAAAACCAATCATTTTCTCTGTCCAAATAATGTGATGTGCAGGAGTTTAGTTTGTTCAGCTCGTGTTTTAGAACTTTTTTTTTTTAACAAAAACAGTCACTTTTTCCACTCTTCCTCCAGAGGAGGAACTGTGGAAGTTTTTACGGTACAATAAAGAGTGTCTGAACCCAACAGCAGACTGTGGACTGAAACAGCTTCAACCCCCACACTTTTCACATCTCTGTGGCAGCTCAGCACTGGACTGAGGTCAGGGGTCCTCACGGCCCGGGGGTGGGGGGGGTCAGCTTCCCTTAGGTCAGAAAAAACTGTCGGCTGAGTGTTAAACAAACACAGTGTGTTTGAAAAGCTTTTTTTTCTGTGCAGCTCTTATTATTATCATGTTATATCTCTATATATTTGTAAAAAGAGCATGTACTGGGATTTAAAGTCTCACTTTGCTTCTGTTCCTTTTCTGTTTTATTCTGGCAGTGATTATTTCTTCACTTCCTGTTTCTTTTCACAGTTGCAGCCAACGAGCAGGATGTGTCTCCTTCCGTGATCAACATCCGGCATGGAGCTGAGATAACCTCTTCCTCTTTTCTTCTCCAATCACTGGCTCGGTTCCAATCATGGGTGTGTGGCGTGGTCTCAGGGTGGCCTTCGTACTGGGCTCCGTCTTCATGATCCTGCTCATCATCGTCTACTGGGACGACGTCGGGGGCTTCAACCTCTACCCTCTGCAGGACCACAAACGCTGCCCCCTTCAGTCACCCTCCTGCCCACGGACAACCACGCCGTCTCCATCCACCGCCGGACTCCAGAGCAGGTCTCCACTTCCTGTTTCTACCACGATTTTCAGCACAAAAGGCGGAGGAGCAGCGGTCGAGGACAGACAGGAGCAGAGGGAGGTGAAGACGACGGGAGGAGAAGGGGAGCAGAAAAGGATCAGTTCTCGTCGTCTGGACGTGGAGCAGGAGGAGAGGAAGCAGAGGATCATGGATGTTTGTTCAGATCTGGACTTCCCTGGAAGGACTCGGTCGTTTGAGCAGATCCCCAACAGGGAGCTGGATCACCTGATCGTGGACGACACCAACCAGATCATCTACTGCTACGTTCCTAAGGTACAGTCAGCCGCCGTGTGGGTTGTTTTGGTTCACGAAGACGAGCGTAGAGTCAAACGTCCACTGCCCCCCTCCCCCCCCCCCAAC